GGTAAGATCTGGGGGAAATGGAGACTGACCCTGGGGTTAGGCGCGCAAAGCCTGGGGAGGGGGAGGAAAAGTCAAGCCTATCTTTTATGTAGCCCCCCCACCTAGCAGTTCTGATTCCCGAGACCCCTCGTTTGTCTTGCCCAGATGTGTGAGCAGACATCTTTCTGTGCTGACTGCTCCACGACTTTTGACCACCGCAGCCTTTCTTTAAGTCATTAGGTTGCCACCCCTCAGAAGCCTCCCCTAATTCAGAGAGAACTGGCTCGTGCACTGTCCCTTCACCTCATTCTTTTCCAAGTCTTTGCCACGACAGTGGGCATAGAAGTTTACTACGAAGTGGGGATTTCCTGACTAGGTGTTGAAGAGTTGGGAGGACAATGTCAGGCTGGTTCTGTTCTGTGGCAGCCAATATACTTGAGGACTTTCTGACTCACAGCACTGCTTGGGGCTCTGGGACACTGACAGTGACCTAGGATGCTGAGTTGGCCCACACCAGGCAAGCAGTGTGGGGAGGAAGCTATGTAATCTGCATAGCCCAGAGCAGAATGAATACAGGAGACTTATTTAAAAATTTACGAATTTCAAATAGTGACAGCGGAGCATTAGATGGAGAGCAGTGCAGGTGATACAGCCTAGGTGGACACCTGGGTCCAGGTGACACAGACTTGTATCTGGAGTGGAGTGAGCATCATCTCTGGGAGGTCTTGTGTCTGTTGAACAGTGACCGGTGGTGACCACTGGCTGCTTGAATGGTGTTTGGCCATTATCTGACTTTCAGTGTGTGAAAATCTGGAAGTTCCCTTATCCCCCGGCTTTAAGACATAAACAGAACAATCTAGAACTTGGAGTAAGTCAAGCTTGGGTTGGAATTGTGGTTCCATTACTTAATAACATAAATCTTGAGCATCTTCTCACCTCATAGGCCTCATCTGCAAAATGGGAGGTAATAACTCCTGCCATGGGTGTTGCTGTGAGTGCAATTGAGATGTAATGTAAAAATATCTACCATGTCTGACTGAGGCAGACTGCTTGTCCTCAGAGCATCTGGTGGGGCGAGAACAGGGCCGACGATGGCCCTCACAGTTGGGGAGAGGAGACGAGGGCCCAGTGAACCCCTCTTGAGAGCTCTGGGGTGTCTGGCAGCACCAACTGAGTCATGAAAGTAAAGCCAGGGAGAATTTGGGATACCCTAGGTAAGTCCTTAGATCACAGAACCACCATGGGGGATTTAGTCTTCGTTGAACCAATGAGTGTGTGTGGCTTCCCATGCCAGCTGTTGGGGGTACAGTGGTGAGCACAACAGGTGGGAACCTGCCCTCTGTTAGCTGAATGCAGGTGTCCTGTTCTCTGGGGTGTATCCCTCACTAACCGGCAGTCAGCCAGAATTTACTAGGTGCCCACTCTGAGGCAGGAAATGAGCCTGTAGCAGGTGCACCAGCTCTTCAACACCCCCACCCACCCCACCCCACCCCTGCCACCAGGGACGGCAGTGAATGAGGCTGTGTGCCTGCATCCCCAACAGCTCACACCTGCAACTCCAGGTTGGTGGGCTGTCCCCAGGTGGCTGGAGCTCCTGGGAATTGCCATCCCCAGGGGAAGTCCTTCACTGATTGACAAATACAGAGGTGTAAATCCTCCAGCCCCCTTCCTGATGGGGACAACTGTCAGGTGTGACTTAGAGCATTCCCATGACTCCCCCCTGGACTGAGCTGGATCACACTCCTGGGACTTTGCTTGATCTCATACCCTGTTGGTCCTCTTTCCTTTCTTTTCTCTACCTGTTTTTCTTGGGACTGCTTCCTAATAAACAACTTTTTTAGACAAATTCCTGTTCAGGACTGACTTATGGGAAATTGCCCCACTCAAGACAGAAAGAGAAGAGAAAGGGAGGTAGCAATTGTGTCTGGGCTTCATATTGCTAGAACCAGTGATGCAACGTGTCAGAAGTCATAATGGGTGATATTTAAAGTACAGCTTTGCAAAGTAATTCCTTTTGCTATCAGAGTGCATTCAAAAGGATTCCTGTAATCTGATCACTCTCCCTTACTTGCATTCTGTTCTGCTATGAGTGGAGAGAAGAGGGGGTGTCCTGCTTGTGGGGGTTTGCACGTGACCTACATCTATATTATACCAAACTTACACAAACCTGTGGGGAGGTTTATGATTCCTGCCTGGAAACACAGGCCATCGTGTGTTTTGCTGTGTGAAAAACAGTTGGGACATATCGGATTGGATCCCTGGGAATATTGGCTTTGTCTCTGCCGAACTAAGTTCCCAGGAGTAGGGCTTGGAGTCTCAGGCTCCCCCAGACACATGAGCAGCACACTTTCCTCCCACCAGGAGTGTCTTCCACGCTCATCTAATCCTTTCTCCAAACCCGCCTCTTCCAGGAAATTTTCTCAGATTCCTTCCTCTCTGTAGGCTAAGGTAAAAGTGTCAGGCTATTCTGCCCTCCCGCCATCAGGATAGATGATGGATCCTTGTCCTGAATGCATGCCTGATGGCGGGCACCTGGAATAGGGTGTGGGCATAGGTAGATGGGATTCACCTGGGCTGAGACTGGGCTTTTAAGGATGGCGTCACGGGGACGCCAGCAGAAGCCGAGAAAGTGGAAAAGAAGCAGAGAGAACGCCAGAGAGCCCAGATAGAGTGAGGATTTGCTGGGGGCTGAGAGGCCTGCCTGCCTTCCGGCCCCCCAGCACCCCTGCCTGCCACAAGCCTGGTAAATCTAAATAAAAGACCTGCACAAGCCACTGAGGACTCTGACCTCCTTTACCTGGTCTGCTGGGTCAGAAAACCTGCTCAGTGCCATTCCTGCCCTTACAAATGTATCTGCAATTCCTACTGCTTTGAAAGTGGGGGGTGGCCTGGGGTGGTGGATGGAGCCCAGCCTGGGGCTGCCCCAGACTTATGAATTCAAGCTTGAGAAATAAATGCTGGATTACCTGATGGGGGATGGGATGGGTCTTCCAGGAGAGATGGAGTTTCCTAAGGCATGGAGAGAGACTTCCAGTATAGGAGTCAAGACACCCACAAAGAGCCCAGGACCAAGGTTGGGGCGGGGGATTACCAAGCAGAAAGCCCTGTCAGAGGTTTGTCTAAGCCGTGCCTCCTCAGGATTCGAGAAAAGGTGTTTTCCTACTTACTTCTGAAGTCTTGTTCTTTGTAATGTTTTCCTGAGGTCTGACGGATCAGGAAAGCCGGAATCACACGTACTGACGTGAGGGTGGGTTACAGAAGGCAGCGGGACTGGGGGCTGCTGGGAGAAGACCCACCCTTGCTCGAAGCGCTTTTGCCGCTTCCTCTTTCCTGCGCCCGGGGCAGCTGCAGTAGATTTGCCAGGAGTGCACAGGAAGGAGAACAACAACTTCCAGGTGGCTTAATTCAAAAGAGGCCAGGAGACAACCCCACCTCTCTCAAATATCCCAAAGTGGGCCCCTATGGCAAAGGGACAGCTGAACTTAGGGTGACCCACGCTGGGCACTGTTGGCCCTGGGACATACAGAGGAGTAGAGAGACTTGGGGAGACTCAGAGGCTTGGGGCGCTCACACCCCAGGAAATGTCTTGAAAGTGCTGGCTGGAGGGCGATGCTGAACTAGCCCTGCAGAGAAACAAGCGCCTGCTGAGTGGAGAATGAGCCCTAAAGGGATTTAAGGCTGACCTTTTCAGCCAGCATGGTTGTGCAAAGAGTGAGTGCTAAGGCCACAAGGGCAAAGGCCCACGGGACCATGAGGGGCGGGGGGTGGGTGTAGTGTGGTGGAAAGAGGTGGGGGGCACGGAGCCAGAGAAGGACCTGATACGCTGGCTCCACTGGCTGAAGCGGTGGGTCTGTAGCCCAAGGCCTGCGGCCCTGTGCGGACTAGCTGATCCGGGACATGCTGCAGGAGGCTGTAGTTTGCAGCGGGTCTCAGCATCACCTGGGAACATATTAGAGCTGCAACATCAACATCACCTGGTAACACGCTTGCGATTCCATATTCAAGACACCCCGATTGGAAATTTGTGCGGGGGCCCAGCAATGTGTTTTGATAGGACGTCTGGGTGCATCTGATACAGCCCAGGGTTCAAGAACCACTGGCTTAGAGGAAAGACTACAGCAGATACTTGAATAACCCCATTTTATTACAACATGGATGGATTAAAAAGCAGCGGCTTGCTTGAAGTCAAAGTTGCTCCGGACCTAGTGAGGCCGCCCCTTGGCTGATGTTGGCAGGAAGGTGTGCGGGGGGTGGCGGGGTTGGGGAGGGTGGCATGAGAACTTGGCTGGAGCCCTGTGTGACCTTCCCAGGAGGGCTGTGTCTGGCACACCTCAAAATAGATTGGAGACCCCAGGAGTGAGAGGACTTGCCTGAGATCACACCACGAGCGCTAGAGCCAAGGTCTTCACCCAATTTGGCCTGACTCCAAAAGTGACTTTTTTCCACCACTGCGGGTGGCCTCTGGTGCCATAGGAGAGTGACAGTCAGGGTAGAGTAGAGGCGCCTGACAGCCCATGGTTGCTGGGTGGAAGGAGATGCCCAAAGCTTGAAGCGCTTTCCCAGAGGGCCTCCTGGTGGTCACTCCTGAGGCTCTCAGGGGAGCAATGAGGCCTTCTGCTGTGATTTCTGTCCTCATTATTTAAATTTTCATCAGGTTTGCATTCATATCGGTGTGCTGGGCTTAGTAAATATACTTTCCTAAGTGACCAGCTGTCATCCCCCACTTTTAGAGCTGATAGGTTGAACGAGAGGTTAAACAAGGAAAGTAGGGTGAAAAATTACCTGTATGCTGTGAACACAACTATCTGGGATCTTTTAAAAAAAGGCACATTGAGAACATGAAGAGGAAAACAAACCAACAATACGAAAGGTCTTTTTCCATGTTGTGTTATGTGGTTGGACTCATTGGTGTGATGAATATGCATTTGTTTTTGAAAGTGTAACCAGTGACACCCATGTGGAATGCAGTGGGCCAGTGGATTGCTCGCTGCCCAGTGGGGACAGTTGGACTATCCCACCTTTTGCGGTTTCTGTCCAAGGCCAGCATTGACAACAGTGGGGCCTGTGGCTTGGGGACGCTGTGGGGCATAGCTGATGTCAGAGTCGCCTTTCCAGGTACCTCATCCAGCCTGAGGTTAAGCCCTTGGGCCTTTGTGGCCTCTGGAAATGCCTTTCCATGACAGCTATCACCTGGAAAACTTAAGAGGGACTTTATGGCCTAAGATCCTGGCCTAAGATCTGAGTTGTCTGGAGATCATCCTAAGAACAGTCAACATTTCAAAGAGCAAACTCAGAGGACTGCTTGAGGGCTGGGACAGGCAAGAGGCAGGCACCAGTCTGCAGATAAAGGTCACCAGACACCTTTAAACACAAAATATTCTTTTATTTATCAACGAAGGCTACACAGGATCACTTCTGGTTTTGTTTTTATGCCTTTTTTTTTTCTAGAAGGTATCTACATCTGCATTTATTTACAGCCTTGTCGATATTTACACAGTCAAGAATACAGTGTTAGAAACACAAAAGTGTTGAGAAAAAAACTTCTCAAAATTAGTTCCAGACTTCAGGAAAACTATTTCCACATGGTAAGGCCAGAGTCTCCAGTGTTGGTCATCCAGAGGCAGCTTGGGAGAGTCCTTTTGCCGAAGCTGCAGGTTCAGAAGTCTTCAAGAACAGGCAGGTTTAGAAAAGTGGGATTCTGGCGGTGGGTGAACCCAGGTTGCCGGGCGTGGCCAGGCACCTGCGACTCAGCTTCTGCCAGGACAGCTGAGCCTGCCCAAAGGTTGGCTTCCCTCGGCAGTTTGCTCTCAGGATCGATCACATTTTCTTGGGGACCACGAGGCCTCCCAGCTAGTTGCCTTTGGCATTCCAGAGGGGGTGAGAAACACAGCATCGGCCCAACCTGGGCTTCCCCTCAATCTGATCTTCCACATTGCATGTCAAACCTAAGAGCTCACTGCTGTCTGGGGCGATCAAGTACACAAGGCTGGTTTTTGAGAATGTAAAGGTTGGAGAGGATAAAGTTTCTATCACCTGAGCAATGAGTCTTTAAAATGAGTTTGCTGTTATTTGAAGGTTAAATGGAAGGGCCTTGAACTAGAGTTCTTTTTTTGAATCCCCTCCTTTCCAATAAAATATAGACAAGTGTATAAACCTAGCTGGGGATGATGAGCCTTCAATGGAAGGCTCTCAGTCCTAACGAGGACCCCAAGGGAAAAGACAGACTGGGTTCCTCCTGGGATCCAGCAGTTGGCGGCCCTGTGAGAAGTGGAGGGTGGATTTGACTTTGAGGACCGGGAAGGCAGACCCCCAAAACCTGGGACCTGCTGAGGCATGTGCCTTCCTTCGGGGCACAAAGCTCACTGCCCTTACCACATGGCAGGTGCAAATGCAAGGCTGCAGGTGGTGAGACTGCCTTCTAAGCTGGTCCATCCCAAGCCTTGCCTTTGCACAACGAGCAGCCCAGCTATCTAACAAGATGGTACTTAAAAGTCACAGCTGAAAAGGTTCTTTATTCTCGTTTACAAAAATAGACCTGATTCCTGGTTATATATCTGTGAAAACACTGCCTGGTCATACTCACCTTCCTTGCCTCACCATTATCTGCTTCCAGGTCCACCCCATCCTGGTGCATTAAAAGCATACACCCTGGCCCTTCTCAACCTCTGCTCATCTCCTCAGGAATTGCTTCAAATCTTCCATTTCTACGTAGAAAGCAGGTGCTGGTCTGTTCCGTGGGCTAACGCTCAGCCAACCATTCTGCTCAAGCTGAGACAGGTGTAAATTACCATGGACTGCCTCTTTTCCCTCCCATTATCATCGCTCTGCCCTCCAACAAGGTCTATGTGGGGATAGGTAGAAGGAAACCTCATCTTCTAAGAGGCAAAGTCAAGGAGACATTGAAGTCCTATTTTAGTTGATGGCACATGGGCAGAGGATGAGGGGCTGGTGGCAGCTGTGGAGGGGAGTGGAGAAGCAGGAATTATTCTAAAATAAACCATTATTTTGGATCAGAGGCTGACATCCTGCAGAACTGTGAACCAATGAGAAAGGACTACTTGTTCCAAGGTCTGAAGACAAGTTGGTGGGTTAGTGCCAAACAGGTACCTTCAGGGATGGGATTTGCAGCCTGGATGCCACTAAGCAGGTCCAGGGAACTCTGGCTTATGCCTCAGATTCACTATTACTGTGATACTGGACTGTGGTGTCAGCAGGAGACAGACTGAGCATGGAGGCATGCACGGAAGCCAGCTTACTAGGGCCACACTGCAGCACCGTCTCTCAGAGCAGCAGCACCCACTGCCAGGCAGAAGCCAGACCACACCCAAGACCCTTTCTCTAAAGCTTGGGGATGCTCAGCTTCTCCCTGCACCGAAGCTGGGCCTCCCTGGTGGTATGTAGCCCAGGAAAAATATATATAATATTATTTGTTTAAAGAAAAGGAATGCTCAATCATTCTGTTTTTGACTTTTAGAAGTTCACATTGTTACTTTGGTGGGGGTGGTGGAGGAGGGACAGAGGGCTCAGGAGGTGGAGGCGGATGTTTCCTGTGGCCCTCATGCGGTCTCTGACTTCTAAGGACATTTTCCCTGGAAGCTGTGACTCATGTCGGGCAGCCAGGGTGGGACCAATGAGCTAGGTCCATGGACAGGAGAGCTTTGCCCTTCTATCAAGAGTACATATCGATAAGTCCGTTTTGGGTGAAAAACTTGTTTCTTCAGGCCAAACCGTTTTCCATCCCATCCGAGAAGATCCTGCCGATGGGAGCCCACTGCCAGCTCCTGCCATGCATGGTGGGCCCGAGGGTGCTGCACTGACTCAGTGGATCTCTGCGCCGGGAGGCAGTGGGCAGCCCGTGGACGAGCAGGCGAGGCTCACTGTCGCAGCAGGGTGACTTTTGTGGAAACAGGAAGAGCACTTAGCGAAACACATCCTCTAATCCCAGTGGGATGACGTAAGGCGAAACCTTTTCTCCCTCTGCCAGGCAGAACCCAGACCACACACTGCTCCGATTCTCATGCAGTAAGAGACCTTCTTGGTTTCATTAACTCAGGTAATATTCTGAAGACTCTGTGAGTAAGGCTATAAAGGTGCCATGAGCTTATCAGTCCAACAAGGTTTCCACGGGGAATAGCTCAGACTCGGAATTCATTTTCCACACTTAATGTAAATGCAACCCATAAAAGTCCCATTTTTTAAGAAGCCCAGCTCAAAAAGAAGCATTTGGTTTCCCCTCCTGGTCTCCCAGAGCCTCTGCGAGTGGTAACGAAATGTAATTGGGCAGATGAGACAGTAGCAAGGAGCTAGCTCTTGCTGCTACTCTCCCTCCCGCAAGGCTTCCTCTGGCCTGTGGGCTGCCATCTGGGCCAGGGCATCCCACGGGTGTGGGCAGTACCACTCCTGGGGGGGCTTAAGCCTCTTCCCGGTGACCTCAGGCCTGGGTCTTCAGGGGACATGGAGCCTGGCTTCCGGGATCCATGGGTACTAGGATGAGCGTCCCCCAATCCTGGTGGGGTTGCAAGACACTGCCAAGCTGCACCAAATGAGTTCTTTCCTCCTTTCTCCTTAGTCTTTCTTTAAAACCCTGGTTGGGCTTCTTTAGAGAGGAAGCAGTTTTAGAAGAACTTCACTGAAGGAAATCTCTTGAAAGCCCATCCAGCTTCCTCCCGACTCTGCAATTAGCCCGTGGATGGCAGGGCAGAGGAGCCTGGGAGCCGCTTAGAAGCATACTCGGCTCATGCCTTTCTCTCTTTGGCTGACTTTCTGTTAAGCATCTTTCCAGAATCAAAGGCCACCAAGCACCACACTCCTACACACTCCCATTCCTCAGTGGTGGCAGCTGAGCAGTGGAAGGAAGACCCCCAAAGTCACGGAAAGGGTTTCCCCTAGGAAGGCAGGCTGGTATCCCGGCCACCACTGCCGTCCCTTCGCCATGGGTGGCCTTCCCTCCCTGGGCGTGGCGCCCACGCTGACGGCTGGCTGTGCATGCTGGTTCTCACATTGGACTTTGGGAGAGAGGAGGAGATGAATGAGGAACACCATGGGAGGGTCAACCAACCACAGACGTCCTGGGGGCCTCTGCCTCTTGGAGGGCGGGCGCTCAGCCCCAGGATGCTATGTCACCAGCCTGGGGAAAGGGCCTGGGAGACACTTTCTCCATCCAGCATGGGGGTGACATTGACAACTACACACGATTTGCAAAAGGGGTGTGGGGGGTGCATTTAGCTTCAAAATGTAAAGCTCGGACAAGAGTTTGGGGCAGCTTGAAAAAGGTGCTGAACGACATCATGAAATCCCCGGAGTAAGATGAAGCCATCGGTGGCCCTCCAGGTGCACTGAACACGGCAAGTTACAAGCCACTTCCACCGGTGGGCAGACGCCTAGCCAGAGATCCTCAGTCCTGCAGACCCGCCTCCCAGGCCCCCTCGGAAGTTTGGCTCTGACCGGTTTCTCTTCATACCCGTCACTCCTGCCCAACCCCCCGTCGGAAAAAGGGCTGCACATGAGACAAGTTAGCACAGACATTCATGTCTCACATCACACTGGGTACCTAGGGACAGACAAGGACACATCCCGGGGAATGAGTCTCAGAGGAGAGAGGTACCCCAAACAACAAGGAAAAATCCTCAAGGGAAAAAGGGAACAAAAGACAATAAGGTTTTCATTGTGATCACACTACAGAAAAAAAATACCTTCTGTTCTTTGCAAAAAATGTGTGAAGGCCAAATTTGTGGTTTTCTTTTCTTAAAAAAAAGGATGTTGCATGAGTTACAATGCAACTTTTTTTGTTTGTTTTCTGCACTTGTTTAAAAAACAACCTTTTTTTTTTTGTCTTTTCTATTCTTTTTTTTTTTTTAAAGTACAACACAGTCAGGTACGCGGCCACAGAAGAGTAGCTGTCTTTGGCAAGAAGTTCAGGCCGGGGTCCTCTCTGTCACCTTCGGCCCATCTCGCTCTGTCTCATGAAGTGGATGTTGTTGGCGCTGTCTGCCAGTTCTGGGTACTGCTCGACGGAGATCACGAAGAAGCCATCGTAGCCTTGCACCCGCCCCGTGTTCAGCGCCTGCTGCTTCTCCCCCTCTGTCCAGGCCCGCAGGCCCTCCTCCCCCTCCCGCAGTCTCTGCTGCTCTCGGGCCCAGGCCTGGCGCACAGCTCTCTGCCGCGCCAGCTCCAGCACCCGTGCCTTCTCCTCGTCCACCGTGGTTCCGTAGCGAGTGTTCAAGCACAGCGCCCCGTACTGGAGCTGGATGTCTGTGTAGCGTCTAGTCCTGCCGTTGAGCATCGTGTTGATCTGGGACACAGTGACGTTGACCCCGTTCTCCAGGGTCCGCCGCCCCCCACTGAGACCCAGGATGGCCAGGTCGCCTTCGGAGGGCCCTGGCTTCACGAAGTAGTGGGTGTCCACCCCGTCGATGGTGAAGTGCAGGTTCTCCAGGTAGTGAGCGTTGTTCAGGATGGCAGCAACCCTCCGCCCATCCTCGTTGGCCACGCTGATGATGTCTGTGGTCACTCGACCGTCCTTCAAGGCAAACTTGACCCCCTTGCCAAAGACTGAGCCACTCGATGCAAACTTCTTTGTCTCTGGGGGCTGCTGGCAGCTGGTGATCGTGGAGCCGTAGAGCTGGTCGAAGCGTTCCAGGGTGACGAAGGCCTTGAGCTGCTTCTGCACTTCACACTGCACTCCGAGGACAGACTGATGGAGGGAAGAGAGACAGTGAGACAAAGAGAAAAACCCCCAAGAGACTGGGAGGATCCTCTTACAAGACTAAGTTGAAGTTGTACACATTTATCAGCCAGCAGCTGGCGACTAGGACTTCCAGCCATCCTGCACCCACCCACTCGTTCAAAAACCATTCAAGGAGGACGTCCTTGGTGCCAGATCTTTCTCTGGGCCTGGAGGTACTATGATGAATCAAACATCATTCCTGCCTTTGGGGAACTCACCATGTAGTGGGGAAAGACAAACATGACAACAAATAACCTCAGTCGAAGATGGAAACTGATGTTCAAAGTAACAGTAAGAGCAACAGAAATGTTTCTTGGTCTCTGAGCTACACAGTTTAACTGATTTGATCTCAACGATAATTTTAGGGAGTCAGTACTGTTATGATTCTGATGCTAGAGGTGAAGAAACTAAGGCTCTAAGAGGTGGTAACTGGGCCACAGTGATAACAATTCGTAAATACTCAGGTATTCATGATTCTGGGGGCTCAGTTTTAAGGGTGGCTGGAGTCAGGAGGGGCAAACACGCTCAGGACATCTCAGCTGAAGGTGGGGCAGTGAGGTGGAGGATGGGCTCAGGACCATGTCGGGTTTGAGTGACGCCTTGAGGTTGAGGCAGCATGTGAGATGGAGAATGGCGAGAAATGCGTTCTTGGCAAGAATGTATGGTAAGATGAAAGTCCTGATTTATATAAAGCCTCTCACCCTGCTTTATTGCTCTTGGCTGTGTTTAGAAATGATTTTCAAGGAAGGCCTCTGCCTTCACAGTGCTTCCTTGGGGCTCCTCAGGAGCCCCTCCTCTTGGCTGCTTTGGGGAACCAATCGGGTCCTGTCTCTTTGGCACACCACCTACCTGTCTGTCTCGTGGCTGGGGAGCTGGGCGAAGTCACGTTCAGACAGGCTCCAGGGCCTTATCAGCAACTCAGGGAAATGGCTTTAGAAACAAGCCCATCGGCTTCTTCACTGAAATTAAGTCCTCTTTATAATTAATAGAACCCTGTCTGTGAACAATTATTTCCTAGAGTTTCACGAAAGCTGGAGTGCTCAACAACAAAGATCTCCAATGCTTGCCAAGGGCAGAAATCAATAATTCATTGACAGGCAAGGCTGGCAAACAGGCCGTCAGAGACCCAGACACTGCAGGGTGGAGGAGGGACCTGGCTTAGCGGGGGTAGCTGAGCTGCGGGAATCAGCCTCAGGAACCGCAAATGCTGTGAGCAGCTGGTCAGATTTGGGGGACAGTGGGGGCTGAGGGGGGGCAGAGGAGCAGGCTGAGGATAGCAGGAGGGGGTCAGGTGTGTGGTCACACAGGCCTGGGTTTGCACGGCCTTCTACAACTTTCCAGCCTAGTGTCCTGGGGCAAGTTTCTCGATGAAACCCGTTCTCCTCCTCTGTGAAATGGGGGAGATGCTAACTTAAAGGGTTGTTGTTTCTTTCAACCATTTGTTTATTCACCGTAAGTTTTCCACATAAGTTTATTCAATGTAAGTATCTTCTGGGGCTGCTGGGTACTTAAATATGACTATTCTTGCCCTCTTGGTGCTCATGGTCTAGTGAAGATGCAGGAAAGAGAACAGGAATGAAAATGTGGTGAGGTAAGTGCTTTGAAAGAGGAAAATATGGGCACCCCTGAGTGTCAGCTGCAGAGCTGGAGCTGAGGCTTAAAGGAACCTGGGTGGGCATACACGTTTCTAACAGCAGCCTGGGCTTGTCAACTCTGTTTTCCTCCTCTGTCTTCTGTCCCCCTGTCCTGGCTCCGGGTGGAGGTCTGGTGTCATCTCTGCAGTCACTGGCAGAGGACAGATAGTATGAACACAGTGGGGAGAGGAAATGAGCAATGGATGTCTGAAGTGAGGGGGTGGGAGGAGACTGTTTTTAAGAACCTTTACAGCTATATAGTTCCATGAGTCTTTGAAACTGGGTCATAAGAGGAAGAAGAGAAAGATTTTCTTGAGCACCTAAAATATGCTCATTTTTTGGAGCACCTCCAGACAGGACCTGGGGTTGACTCCCGGCTCCACCTCTTCCTTGCTGTGTGGCACTGGGAAAGCCTCAGGCTTTAAATCTATACAATGAGAATAATAATACCAGGGGATGTTTGGGACTTAAGCAGAATAGCCCCACAAGGCCATGTACCATGGAGGTGCTCAGAAACATTGCAAGTGCTTTTAGAACACAGCTTCCCCCCGGCACTTCTGTTCTGGGTGATGATAAGGGCTCATCATTCTTGTGAACTCCAAATTCAGAGTAACACACAAAACCCCTAATGCAGCCCACGAGGGTCTGTGCGCTGCTCCAGATGGCTTGCTGGTAGGAGGTACTGAGTATTATCGGAACAGTTTCTGGTAGGCACGGTGGAGGCACACAGGGGTTTCCATCATTTGAATACCATTTTTCCTGAAAAGCAGGGGAAGGGCTGGGCAGCCATGTATGTGAATTACCTTGCTGTTGTCCCACTCCTGAGTTTTCATCTGCGTGTGGACGAGCTCATAGGATGGTTCCATGGCATCCATGTCCGGTTTGGGGTAGCCCGGGATCACATTGTGCAGCTGGAATCCAAAGGTGAGGAGCCAACTGTTGACATCTGGGTGGGAGGAAAGCAGAAATATCCCTAATGAGTAAGCAGACCTCAGATGTCACCTAGTCCCAGAATGCAGCCTAGAGTCAGGTTGCAGGTGGGGTGAGGATATGAGGGGTGCTAGTGGCAGAGCCAGCTGGTACGGGGCTTTGGGAGATGGCTAAGGGCATCAGAGCCCAACACACTCCTGGGACCTAGCACCTGCTTTCTAGGCAGAGACTTAACTTGAGTGCAACCTCGTTCCCAGACTTCCCTCCCTCCTGACAACTCCAACCCCCCAGGACCTTCAGCTTCACACCTGGGGGCAGCTGTGACAGATGAAGCCTCCTCCACAGCCACCCCCAACACCAAGAGGAAACCGTGGCAGAGAACACCACGCCCAAAGGAGATTTTTATGATAGATTTTTTTAAAGAGAAAATTCACTTAAGAAACAAACTTTCAGAATATTATTCAATTGTAAAAAAGGAGAAATCCTGCCACTGGCGACATATGGATGGATCTGAGGGCATTATGTTAAGTGAAAGACTAAATCAAAAACCGAAAGATAAACACTGTGTGATGATCTCACTTATATGTGGAATCTAGAAAAGCTGACTGGCGGTTGCCAGGGGATGAAGGTGGTCAAAAGGTATAGGCTTCCAGTCATAAATTCTGAGAATGTAAAGTAAAACAAGGTGACCACAGTTAATCTGTTGTGACCTGACAGTATATTGGAAATCTGCTAAGAGCGCATTTCATCTGAGTTAAAAATTTATCATCCCAAAAAAATATTTTTTGGTAACTATGGGAGGTTATGGATGTTAACTAAATTTATTGTGGTATTTCATTTCACTACATATATATATATATATATATATATACACACACACACACACACACGCGCGCGCGCACGCACACACACACACACACACATATATGTTACATCATTCACCTAATTAAAGTAACACAAAAAAGAAAGAAAAAACACCCTCTCCTTCCTCTCCCCACCCTAGCTGCAGAGATTAGAGCCTCGGGGCATGATTTTCTTCCTTCACTGGGAGCAGGCTCCCCACATCCCACATTTCACACACCCTGATTGCCTACAGCAGTCACTTTCCCTTCCTGAGCCTTCATTTTCCAGTCTTTCTATTGGGCTTGAGGATCTGGGGGCTTATTGATTTTATAACATTCCTTGGGAGTTATTAATCATAAAATACTATGATTAATATTTCAAAATAAATATTAGGTTTAGGGATGGGTAGGATTTTGCCCTGAGCATTGCACTCTTTGAAGAGTGGAATCAAGCTGTCAACAGGTAAGGAGAAGAGAGGGTTGAGGATGTGTCATGGGTTCCCTGGCCACTGTGCCAGGTGCCTTTTATGTGCCCAGCACTGTGTCCCGCAGATCCTCCCAGGTACCCTCCTGGAAGAAGAGATGAGACTTGGGTGTGCATAATGTTGACCCAAGAAACAAGAAGACAGAAGGGCAGAAGCCACTCATTTGGATAGGATGACAATTCTTCATAAGGATGGTGGCGTTTAAGCCAGACACTAAAAACTGGGTAAACTTTATTAGCTTACAACAGAGATGAAGGGGGCACTTCAGGCAAAGATCCTTGTACAAGGCAAGGCCTGGAGAGAGGAGCGGTGTGCAGGGAGACCCCAGGGGAATCAGCCAGCAGCTCAGCAAAGCTGAGAGAAAGCCAGAAAGGAAAACTGGCTGAAGCAGGAAGAGTCTAGAGGGGAAGAGCAGGTAGGAGGTGATTTAGGGCCTGAGAGAGAGAGGCCAACTACCTGTGTCCCAGTACGGCTAAGCCTGCCTTGGGAATGGGCAGTGGAAGAAGCTAAACCAGTTGTTGACCTGAGACTCAATCTAAGGTCTGGGGAAGGCAGGATTTAGAGCTGAACCTGAGAGCCAGCAGCTCTGGGCAGGTGGCATCCAGGCCTGCTTTTGGCTTTTTTTTTTTTAAGGAGTAGATCCCTGGAGAGAAGCTTTGTGGGTTCCAGGCACAGTTGGGACTGTCTTTTCCTGCCACCACTGAGCTCATTCATCCCAGTGATGGTAATGACCTCTGGGGGTCAACCACTGTGTCCCTATCACCACTGCATGTCATGGAACATTTCCATTCAGAAACCTCGTTTTGCTTTGGATTTTAGGTGCCCCCTCTCCTGGGAAATCTGCTGGCATTGAGGTGGAGTTGCAGTGAAAAGGAAGCTTTGAAGTCCAGGTTCTGCTTCTAGAAAAAAGGCACATGGAGGCAAGGCAACCCCCACCCCTCCGAATTCTGGCTCCCCAACTTAAAAACTGGAGGCAACTGAACAGTCCCTTTATCTGCAAATTGGTGGTAGAAATGGTTTTCACCAGGTCATGGAGAGGAATGCTAACAGTATTAGCACATGGGGGCAGCTGTGGTCGAGCAGGGACTGTTTGAAGTTTGTTACATAAATTACACAGGGACACCTCCAGCAGGTCCGCCTACACCATTTTTCCAATAGCGCCCGCTCACTTTGTGACTCTGTGTCACATTTAGTTAAGTCATCTACATTGTTTTTTAAAACATGATGCTATTACACACTCATCAGTATAGGGTAGAGTGTAAGCGTTACTTTTATATGCACTGGGAAACCAAAACACTCGTGTGAAACCAAAACATTTGCTGTTTTGAGATACTCGCTTTTATTGTGGTGGTCTGATCCGAAGCCACAATATTTCTGGGATGTGTCCGTATGTATTAAAGTGTCCAGCTCAGTTTCTACCTCACAGAGTTTTCTGTGTTTCCTCCAACTCAAGCCTCCAGATCTCCGGACTGCCACTTCCTTCATTTATAGCATGAGGTGCTGGGGCCAGCTTTTTTCAAAGTCCCTTTCTTCACTAAGTTTCTAAGAATCTCTGATTCTATGAATCTTGGCAGATGGTTCTTTGGGAAATTAAAACAGAATGGGGGAAGGAGGAACCCTACAAAGCTATTTTGCCTGAGGCTGAGAATTTGCTTCTGAATTTGTAGTTGCAAAGGAAAGCTGCTATGAGGAGTACTGAAAATTCCCAGGAAACCAGGGGCCTGACAAGAGGGCTGGGCCTTAATTATAAGCGATGGATGGTGGGAATTGTTCCCATTATGCCTTTAGGAAAAATACTGAAAATTTATTTATTCATTGCTTTTTTTCTGCAGTGCATTTCTGAAGAGTTGGGAATTTACTCTCACTTCTTAGGCTATCAGAACTACCTACTTCCCTCAAGTTAAAACTCTATTCTACTCGCCCATTTGGGGTGGCTGCCCAGGACGGCTGCACAACCTTGCACTTGACAAAGTGGACTCGAATCCAAGATGAGGGTGTGGAGTCAGACTTCTAACCCCAGCCCTGGCTCCTCTTAGGAAGCCAGTTTCTCTAATCTCCAACCTTCACTTTCCTCCTCTGTAAAGGGGGTCACTGAAGCCCATCTCGCTGTCTACAAGTGCAATAGTGTATACGGGGTGTGTCTGTGCTAGACATGTTTTGGTTGCCTTGCTAGCATCCCTTCTGCACAAAGGAGGCACATACTGAAATTGTGAGACTATCTTGGGGGTGGGAGGATCTGTCTCCAACAAAAGCAGAGAGACAACAGGTTTGCGAGTTCAGGGACACTTTCTACTCCAGTTGGTTTCATGGGAGGGAAAGGCAAAGCCCACTTTGCAAACCAGAGGGTACAGGGAAGGGAACCAACGCCAGCCAGGCAGCGTGGGAGGCAGGCTATACAATGTGGCTCATTTCCTGGATCCACTTACATGTGGAATATAGAGATGCAAAATAAAGGGTCAGACAAAACCAACCCAATAACAAACACTAGAAATCTGACTGTAAAATTGAACCTATCAGAGGGGAGAGAGCAGGGGAAAGTGGAGAGTAGGATGTAGCGGGAGCACAGTGGAGCGTGGTGGACTGTGAGGGCCTTGGTGGTGGGTGTGGTGTGGTAACGTATCTGAAAAGATGTGCCCCTGTACCTGTCAATCACATACAGAGTCAAAAGCCAAAGTTACCTTACGAGGAAGGAAGGAAGGAAAGCAGGAGGGAAAGGTAGGATGGGGGAGAGTTTAATTTCAGGGACTCGCTTTATCATCCATTACTCCACAGTATTACTTCACAGATCCATTGTGCTTACTTAGAATAAAATCATTGTTATAAAAGATATAAAGTGGGGCCTCCCCGGTGGCGCAGCGGTTGAGTGCTGGGTTGCGAAGCTGCCCGCAGCCTCTGCAGCGATGGTTCGATCCCCGGCCATGGGGTGAGGGTCCCACATGGCGTGCAGACCTCTCCTGCCACCTGCTGCTCCCCTCAGCAGTGCACTTCATCAGTCTGCCTGTTTTGTTCCCCGCTCTGGCTCTGGTGAATTCTCTCACCCTCCCGCGCTTCTGACTGTACCCAGTGCTTGTATACATAAATAAATAAATTAAAAAAAAAAGAAATAAAGTGTATTTTATTTCACCTTGGCAATAGAGTTTTGTTTTTTTTCCTCTTTGTGCACCTATTCTTTGCCCCCTTTTCCTGCCCTGTTTAACAGATTGGCTATTTCTTAGCCTTCCACTTCATCTCCACTATTGACTTAGATCATTCTTTTATTTTTTTAGTGGTTGCTTGAGAGTTTACAATATGCACATTTAACTGATCAGAGTCAGGGGAGGTATTCTAACTGCAAGTTACCGATCAGGAAATTGGAATTCAGGGAAGTGATTTTTGTGATGTCGTAACTTAGATATGGTGGGTACTTCACCCAGTTCTGTCTTGGAGTCTGAATTTTCCACTCCATTATCCCAAGTGAGAGAACTGAATTCTTTTTCATTCCCACCCAACTGACTGGGGGGACACTCATAGCCAGCCTGGTCTCTGGGTCAGAAACTCCCCAAGTACATTCTTAAGGGATTCATCCGGTGAGATTTCACAGTGAAAAGGGGGTTTCATGGTCAAATAAGTTTTAGAAATAGTGAGTAAATAACACTTCTCTTTAACTACGGGACTTCTCACAGCTTTTCATAAGCTGAAAGGCATTATGAAAATTGAAGAACAGTGGTTGTCTGTCAGTTTGATTTTATGCCTGAACCAATTTTTCCAAGGTGTTTTTCTAAATGAGTGGTGATTCAAATCTACTTTGGGGGACTGCTGCTCTAAGAAGTGTCTGTCTCCATAGACCCATTTCAACTTACTTAAAGAAGACTGTCTCGTCAGAGGCCAGAGCAAAGTGGGGGTTGCCCTCCGAGAGTGTCCCGGGCCTCACCTGTCATGAAGCACTTGATGTCCTGAGAGTTGCTGATGGGGTTGTTGTTTTTAAACATGTAGAGATTAAACGGCATGATGCTGCTGCCACTAAGGTGCTTCCACAGCTCGTGGTCTGGGCTAGTCCAGCGGCCTGCCAGCACATCATAGTCCCGCCGGCCCATGTGGACGAGCTTGGTGAGCGGGTCGTAAAGGCCACCATGGTAGCCGATGATGATCTGGAAGTTGGGGTTTGTGTCCATGTAGATCTCCCCATAGGCAGTGTACAGGACTTGCTTGATCATCAAGCCCGTCCCACTGAAGACGGCCAGAGGGGTCCCGATGTTGTCACAGGCTATGTAAAACTCGTCGCCGCTGCTCAGCTCCATGGCAAAGAGGTGCCCTTGCAGGTCGTAGTAGAGGGAGGTGATCTCAGAGCTGGAGTGGTTGTAGAGGTGGGTGACCTTGGTGGGGTTGGTCAGGTCCGCATAGAAGAACTGCAGGTGGTGGCCTTGGCTGCTCTTGCTGGAGACCCGGCGCCCCAGGCCATCATAGCGGTACCTGACACTCCAGCCGCCGGCCCGGTTGTAGGCCTTGATGAGCAGGCCGGCTGAGTTGTACTCAAAGACGTCACTGCCCCGCTGCCTCAGGAAGCCATCCTCGTCCATCTTGTACTGCACGTCACCCAGCCGAGTGATGCGGTCACGGAGGTCGTACCTCAGTGGGGTGAGCCGCGCACTGTTCCCGGGGCTCAGTAAGTGGAGGTTCCCATTGAGGTCGTAGCTGTATCTCCAGAGTGGCTTGTCATTGATGGAGACTGTCTGCAGCTGCCCATCAGCATCGTATTCATAGGAGTACCGCGTGGTGTTGGCATAGGGGCCCACCTTCAATTCCTTCTTTACAACGCGCCCCATGTTGTCATACTGGACGGTCATCCAGTACATGAGTGAGCGGAAAATCTCATACTGCACTTCCTTCATCCGACCATACGCATCAAAGTGCTTCGTGTGGGTCATGACAGCAGTGGTGATGATCTGGTTAATGTCATAGTAGATGACACCAAACTTTCCAAACTGCTCTGTCTTGCCTGACACGTCGTCATAGCGATAGAGATCGATGGGCAGCGGAGTCTCATTGATCACGGCCTGCATGCTGGTCACGCGGAAACTGTTGTCATAGTTGTAGTCAAAGCGCGCATTGACCATGCCTTCCTCGGTGAAGCGGAAGATCTGCCGGTCAATCAGGGGCCCGATCTGACGGTAGCGGATGGTGCAGGTGAAGCCCTCGTTCTGCAGGTTGATGGTCTTCAGCATGCCCGCGGTCTCGTCGTAAGTGAAGCTCACCTTTGTGGTGTCGTACAGCATTTCGGCCAGCTTGGACAACTTGCCATACTTGTAGATCACCCTACGGCCAGTGCCCAAGTAGAAGGTGTGGAGGAGGTGCCCGTCCTCAGTGAAGTCCTGGATGACCGAGGCATTGCCCTCGGGGGGCTGGTAGATGTTCCTGTAGTAGCCCACTGAGCGGATGGTCTCCAGGGTCTGCCGGGCCACGTTGGGCATTGTCACGGATGAGAGGCGGTCGTTTTTGTCAAACTCAAAGATATACTGCCTCTGGCTGTGGAGGAGCAGCACCATGGACTGGAGGAGAGAAAAAGCAAGAGATAAGTGGGATGGGGCGGAGGAAGTGGGTGCGCCAGAGGTGGGGGAGGGGGACGCCAACTAGGTCTGTGTGCCTAAGGCTTAAAGGAGAGGAATGAAAGGTCCAGAAACTTGGTGATTCTGCCAAATTATACCCAAACAGAGCTTTCCAACCACCATGCCTCAGGATACTGCAGATGGGGTATGTTTGTGGTAAGAAAAAGGCTTCTTCCAACCCTTGGTCCTAGAAGTGCCTGAGGCCCCAGGATACTCAAGCCCTTTGCCTTCTTATGGGGAGTAGCCTCCTCTGTTTACTCCTTTGTGTGGTGCAAACAATGGTGATTTTAGGGGCCTTCCTGGTGGTGCAAGGGGTTAAGTGTCAGCACTATGAAGCTATCTGTAGCTACTGCAGCGTGAGTTCGATCCCCGGCCAGGAAGCTAACACACATGGCGTGGCAGACCTCTCCTATCTCTCCCGCTGCTCCCCTCAGCAGTGTATTTCAGTCAGTCTGCCTGTTCTGTTCCCCACTCTGTCTCTGGTGAATCCTCTCACCCCCCACACCTCTGGCCTGTACCCTGCTGCTCTTGTATGCATAAATAAATAATTTTTTTTTTAAAAAAAGAAACAAGCAATGTGATTTTAGCATATGATGGGATGTGAGAAAGGTTGGGAGCTCTGGCCTAAAGTATTTGTAGCAGGCTCTCTCCTGGATTTCTTGCTCCAGATTCTTTCCTAATCAATCTTCCTATTCAAGCGGGAATGATTTTCCTAAAGCACGAGCTGACTATGTCAGCTGCCTGCTAAACAACTTCTGCTGACTCCCTGTGGCCTACAGGATAAAGAGCATGTCTGAGAAGGGCATTTAAGGCTTTGCACATTGTTTATGTGGTAACAGGTCAGAGCCCACCCTGGGTTGGGGTGTGATGGGAATAGAAAACCTGGCTTCTAACAACAGACTCACTGTGTGGCCCTGGGAACATTCTTTCTCTTTTGGGTTTGGCTTTCTGCACATTGGATGACCTCCAAGCACCACCACAGAACATGGCTCTTGGAGATGCTCACCCAGCACAGGGCTGGGGAGTCTGACCACAAAGCAGGCAGAGCCTGGATTCTGGTCAGGTGTGAGGCACAGGAAACAGAGAAGGGATTTGGGTGCCAGAACTGGGGCAGGAAGTGCAAATTCTGTCTCAGAGAAGAGCCAGCAGGCAACAGTACCAGAAGCACATAGGTATCAAAGCAACCAGCTTTTCTCATTTGGGATTAATTTTTGATTTCAGGCCTTTTCTGAATCCTAGCCCCTGGGATGAAATGAATCCTGACCTGAGAAATTTATGAAGGCAACACCCAGCACTTGAAAATCAGGATGTAGCACCTTCCTCCTGAATGATGATCCCCAGACTTCTGCCTCATTCCTGGGATCGGACCACATTGTGCTCTAGACCCTGGAGCAGACTCCTGCCTGCATGTGACACTGAGTCCTGCTCCGGAAGTCCACTTGCTGTTTGGACTGGGGCCTGGGCTCGATTATCATGTGGGACTTTCACATGCTCCTGCCCCACTGAGATGCCTCTTAGGGCTGCCCTGGCTTCTGTGGCAGATTTACAAGAAGGCCTCAGGAATGAGATCTGTTCCATTAAGGCCAGCAGCCTGGGTCTGGCCAGGGATTGAGCCACAAGGACTGACAACATGGTAAGGCTATCGAAGGAGGGAGACAGACACCTGCCTTCTCTAAGTACGTGTAGCTCCATGTCTTCCCATCAGCGAAGATCCTGGATGTGATGCGGCCCGCCTGGTCATACTCCATCCTTTCGGACATGATGCCCCTTTGTATGCCCGCAATGTGCCCCCCTGGAGAGTAGGTCACGTTGACACCATTCAACCTGCTGCTGGGGGACCAGAGGCTGGGCCGCCCTGCCTGGTCATACAGGATCCGCAGGGTGAACTTGCGGTGGTCATCATAGATCTTCTCCGTGCGTGTCACACGGTCAAAGTCCAGGGACAGGAGGTTTCTGTTGTGCACCTAGAGAAGGGGGAGGCAGGTGAAGTCAGTTAATCTGGACATTGAGAACTTGGGTCTGAGAAGCTCCCGAGTGGAGGAGGCAGCATGGTCCTCAGGGACAACAGACAAGGGTGTGGGTCCTGGCCAGCGCCGGGCATTTGGGAGGTTTTCTCTTCTGTAACGTGGGCATGGTGATGCTAACACAGAGGGCTGCTGTGAGGAGAAGCAAACTCTGAGCAATAGCAGCTGTTACCAAAGACCACCCATGTCACTTCCTAATGTGATTCTTCTCATGAGGACACAGCAAAAAGGCCAATCTATCTCAGCTTCCTGGAGAGGAGAGATGAGGCGGGCCCACCTACTATCACGTGGCCATCTGCTCCATGCCCTGCTTGTACTAGTGCTCGGCACTGAGGTGACCGGGGTCAGGGAGCAGAAGGGCTGTGCTCTGGGTCTAGTGGTGGGTGAGTGAGTCTGGGTTTGCCTCTCACCACTACAATGTGCTGACAAATGCTCAGCGGATCTCTGGCTGGGTCCTGCCCTCCTTGGGGGTCTCAATTTCCCATCTCCGCTGGGATCTCTCATGCTCTGTCACCACATGCCGGGCTTCTCAGTCACCTTGGTCTTCCTGGAGGCCCTGGGGACAGTGTGTGTTTGAGTCTGGGGTGGCAACTCTGGCTGCGGGCCTCCTGGGGACACTGTCTTAGCTTTGCAACATTTTGGTGTGCCCGCAGGATCAGGAGTCCCCTGCATCATCTCACCCCTACCTGGGCTGCTAGGTCAGCACAAAATTTCTCTTCAATGTCAGGAACATAGGGTCTTATGGGGCAGCAATAAGTCAGGGTTTTTCATACTTTAATGAAGAAATATAGGTCAGAGGCCCAATTCTATATTTGGATTCACCCCTTAGGTTCCAGTTGCCCCTGAAAGATTGCCAGGTACTCTGAAGCTAAAATGCTGGCTCCCTCTAATTGGTGCCTGGCCTTATGGGGCACTGGGGCATACTCTATCTCTTCCATTAGTCACTGGTTATGTTTGACAAGGAGCAAGGAGGACCCAGAGGAAAACAGACAAGGGAGGTCACATGTAGTAAACCACACACATGGACTGAGTAATGGAAGGATCTGGTACCCTCTGTGGTGAAAGGGCTCAGGTCTAGGAACAAAGGCCAGGACTCCTATTTGAAGTCTGTAGCCAAACTATTCTGTGTGACCTTGGGCAAGTGCCTTTCCCTCTCTGAGTCTCAATTCCTATTTCTATAAAACAACAGACCTGTGTGAGGCCTGGAGAAACATAGCAGGAACCGAATAAATGGTTGCAATTATTTCCATTAAATGGCAGCAAATGATCATGGTCATTTTCAGAGGAAGCAGAGATGTGTGTCTCTCCCAACTCCCCAAACAAATTCTAAAGCCTTGAAAATAAGGATTTATAATGATGATGCTGAGACGACTTTAGCTGTGAATGGCCTGGTTATAATAAGGTTGCTTTCCCAGGGGTAATCAAACACAATTGCAGAAGCAAAAACTGTGTGGCAGACAATTCCCATGAAAAATCAGAGGTGTTGCAGGCTGAAGCTGTGTTCTTTGCAGAAAGGGCAAAGAAGGATGCGGGGTTGGGACCACCAATGATGGGAGCCTCTTGAAATCACCTTTTGGAAGGTGCCCTGTGGCTCCCCACAAGGTGGTGTGATCCAGCTAGCTGCCCCCTCATGCCCTGGAGGGCCTCTAGTGAAGGGGAGCTATACCTCTATGGCAAAATTAATAAAATTGAATTAAGCAGCTCACTGGGGAACTGCTTCCTGTGCTCCACAGTGGTGGCAATGAGATTATTTTACATCTTTCTTTATTAAAAAAGTTCCCAGCTGTATAAAAAATGAGCTCCATTATGGAGAGGTGCACCCGGCTAACATTCTAATTCCACATGCTGCCACCATGGGTGGTCATTTATTTTGGGAGGATGCAGAGATGCGGCCACCGACTGGAGCGCCATTAATCTCGGGCTGGAGAGGGACCAATTAAAGCTTGGGAAACTTTTGGTCCAGTTCACACGGCAGAGAGGAAATCCTAATAGTACTAATCGCTGCTGTTTATTGAGCACCCGGGATCTACCAGCACTGGGCTAGGTGCTTTGAATATATTATCTAGTTTCTGCAGAGGAATCTGAGACTTAGAGGAGTCCCTTAAGGCTCTGCACACAGCCCTGGCAGGCATCAAGCTCACCTCACACTTTCTACTTAACACACTGCCTGAGATGGGGATGAGAGGCTCTCAGAGAATTCAGACAGGGGGGCCCTGTGTGGCCACAGAGAACAAAGTTGGTGGGGTGTTCCTCAGGGAACGAATGGAAGACTGTTTTCAGCATTTTTGCTAGAGTTCCTGGTTTTGTGGGAACACAGGAAGCCCAGCCTTCCGGGTTCGAGTTGTATGATATTGGATAAGTCACTTAACATTTCTTTGTCTGTTGTGGGAGGTTGACAAGGTGTTTTTTTTTTTTTTTTCCTAGTCTTTACCACTGTCTAGGTACGTGAGCCTGGAAAAGTCCCTCCTCTCTCTGTCCCATGTGTGAATGAGCAGCTTAGAGGAAACTTTGCTGAAGGGAGGGGGCTCAAGACAACCCAGCTGTGTTGCATCAGGATGCTTCTGTGGTTTTAGTCAGGAACATCTGGCTCAGTTCTGCGATCCCCTGCAGCTCGGCAGGTCTCTGCAGAGTACCCGTGGTCTGCAAGGTGTGGCGCTGAATGCCAGGGCTAGTTTCTTTGCTTTTAGTTTTCCATCCCCTTCCTTCCTCAAGCTGGAGAGAAAAGGAGGACAGTCAGGCCCTAGGGTCAGGCCACATTTTATTAGAAACACCGGCAGTGAGGCTGAGAAAGGGCTGGTTCAGGGCATCTGAACGCCGGACAGCACTCTGAATGCATGCCAACGTGTCAGTTACAGCTACGGTGTATGTGTGGGAGGGTCGTTTTGCTTGTTTAGGAAGGACAGCTCTGCCTCGGAAGAGCGGAGACTGCAGTTCCAAACAGCCAAACAGCATTTGGGACATGTTAGCATCCGTAATAACAAAAGCAATGAGAACACCAATGACGACAAGGGGAGCAAGAAGTGGCATTCCTGGCCACTTTCTATGTACTAGCTTCTGTCTGAGGCACTTTATGTTTTTCCTAATCCCTGTAGCAACTCATTAAAAAAGCAACTTTTATCTCCTCATTTTGTGGCTAGTGAAATCAAGATTTTACAAGATTGTCAATTTGCCCAAATTCATTCAGAGAATAGAAATGGAAAATCCACCCCAGGCCTGACTACACCAAAGTCAGCGATCTTTCCACCAGTAGCAGCGAGCTCAACGAGACATTTTACATGTGGTTGCCAACTTTACTTTTCTCCTTTGGCAGATGAGGACACTGAGGGCCCAACGAAATCTTCCTCCTCCCACAACACTTTCAAAATCTGAACCCAATGCTCCAGATTCCTTCCCATTCTGTCCTGAGACCCCGCCACCTCCAGAGATTGAGACCCTCTGGGTGAGGCCCTTGCTCACCCGCAGCCGGCGCCCGAAGACGGTGACCTGGCCCCGAGCCTGCTCCTTGCGTTGCCGCCACTCCACCAGGTTGAGGCCGTTGTCAATGGGTAGCGTGACGTTCCTCTTGCCCACGGTGGGGTTGACGGTGCCCGCCAGCAGGTGGGGCTCGGTTTGCAGCGCCACCTCCATTCCATTGGCCAGCAGCAGCCGCAGGGAGCCATCGGCCCCAATGTAGTAGCTGTTGCGGACCTGGTCTGGGGAGAGGAGAGGGACAGACTGCTCAGCGGGTGAGGGTGGCGGGAGGTGTGTGGACAGCAGAGGGAGTGGCATGGCTTTTACGTGCTTACTTTTCTGACTATCAAACACTGGCATTGAAGAAAACTGGGAAAATATAGGGAGATCATCCATCATCTCCATACACAAAGTGAGTCATTTTATATTGCTCTTATTGAAGTATAACTGACATGTAACATTATGTTCGTGTCTGTGCATAAGGAATCCATTTTAAATATTTTGGCATATCCCTAGGTTTTAGGATATTTCCTAGTATATTTAAAGCTTAAAATACTTTCACTGATCATTGTACTATATTGTTGAATGTTTTTTAAACTTTTATTGCAATATATTTGTGTAAAGTTAAGGTGTACAACATGCTTGTCAAATAAACGCATGTACTGTCATCTGATTGCTGTGGTAGCAATAATTAGCACCTCAGTCATGTTGAATAATTAACATTTCTTCTTTCCTGGTAGTTTTTTAATGACTGTATAGTATTCCGTTGTATGGAAATACTATTACTTATTTAACCAAGGCTAAAATGGATACTCTGACTGTTTCCAGTTTTTAAAAATCACAAGTAACACCATAAATTTTATGTCAAGTGAAAAAAATCAGACACTAATGGCCAGAAGTGAATCCATTTATATGAAATGTCCAGAACAGACCAATGCACGCAGGCAGAGAATAGACTGGGGAGGTGAGGGGTGAATGGGTGTTGGGCTTCTTTTGGGGGGGGGTGACAAAAAGTTTCTAGAACTAGATAGGGTAATGGTTGCACAATTTGTAAATTTACTAAAAACTACTGAATTGTATGTTTTAGAGGGGTGAATTTTATGGTATGTGAATAATTTCTTAACAAAAAAATACATTATTGATAAATCAGTGTCTTCATTTTAAGTCATTTAGTTAAAATGCACTCCTAACAAGTAGCAGGATTACTACAGCAAAGGGTTGAACATTTTTAAGGCTCTTGATGAACACAATGTTTATTACAATAAGTAAAAATAACTCTGATCCTTAAATCACTTATAGAATGCTAAACACATATTCATTTGAAATCACTGTCATACATCTCTGACAATGATATAATATATATGAAGTGATTTGAAAACAGATCCAATCTTGAAATCTAAATCTGATTAAAATATTTTCATTCAGATCTTTAGCTAACTTTTAGAGAAAAGGATAAATTTCAGCTGTAAATGCACACCAAGTTCTCTTCTAAAACACAACTAGTGTCTATGCTTCTGTGCCGTGCTCCCTGCGTCTTACCATCCTCCAGTGTTGCCCCTGTCTTCAATAAAAGGATAGCCCAAGGCCTTCCCTCACAGTTTTCTGAGAAGAGATGCTCTCTTCTTGTCAGAACTCATGCCTTTCCCTATACATCCCTTAGCCTCCTCATCATGGGCCTCCTCAGGGGTCTTGCAGCTGAGGGATGTAGGGTTTACCACTCTGTTAGTGAACAATTCCTCAAATTCCTAAGTGCCTACAGTGAGAGGCACAGAGGTTAGAAGTATGGACTTTGACCACCTGGATTTAAGCCCTGGCTCTAAAACGTCAGGTGAACGCCTTAACCATGCAGGCCTCTGGTTATCATCTATATACTGGTGGTAACTGAATGCTTACCTTGTAGGAGGAAGCAATATGCAGAGCTGAGCACAGTATTTGGCATATAGTGTCATGTAAATGATTGCTACTCCTAGTTTTATGTGCCTGGTACTGTGTTAGAAGTCACTGTCACTTACATCTCTTGTTGCCTCGCCTCTGTCTCCATTATTCCATTTCAGATACCTGTTATAGTGAATTTTTCTAGCATGACCAGTCCAGTCTTTTATTTATTTTTTTAAAGATTTATTAATTTATTTATACAAGCACTGGGTACAGTCAGAAGCATGGGAGGGTGAGAGAATTCACCAGAGCCAGAGCGAGGAGCAGAACAGGCAGAAGGACTGAAGTACACTGCTGAGGGGAGGAGCGGGCAGCAGGAGAGGTCTGCACGCCATGTGGGACCCTCGCCGGCGGCCGGGGATAGAACCGGCGCTGCAGAGGCTGCGGGCAGCTTCGCAGCCCAGTGTTCAACCGCTGCGCCACCAGGGGAAGCCCACCAGTTCAGTCTTTTAATAGTTCCCTACTGCTTTTAAATTTTTGAGAGACAGGTTCTAGATCCTATTCGTCTGGATCCAAATACCCTACTAGGTGTGTGACTCTGGACAACCTTTTGGTGCCTCATTGCCTTCATTTGGAAAATGGAGATATTAATAATATCTCCCTCCTCGGGTTAGTGTGAGGATTATAAAGGACTAAGAATATAAAACACTAAATATAGACTTCATACTTAAGTGCTCCAAAATGTTAGCTATCCTCTGTTGGTACTGGATGTGCTCAGTAAGCATTTGCTGGATCGATCTAGACATAGATGATGCTGTGTTCAACAATAGGATGCAATTTTTTGCAGGAAACCCTCACAGAATCCTCCCTGTGAGAAAGACATCAAATCGACCCCCCTCTCTCACACCCTCCCATCTCCATATTTCTCCCTCTCACTCACACACAGAATTCTAAAATCTGCCTCAAACTTACTATGCATTATTCACTGACAATCTGTATTTTATTTCCTTGGAACAGTGAAAAAGGCTGTGTCAATTTATCTTTTAAGGCTGCTTCTTGGTGAATGCACATATGTCCATTAATGGTGACTTGGGGTGGAACAGCATCTGGAGAGGCCCATCTCGAATGATCCCTGTTTTGAGTGAGCTGTGACTTCCCAAGGCTGCTGCTCATTAGTAGCTACTTCTTATTTCTCCCCATAGTTCAGCCATGAGATGAAACTGAAAGAGCTTTTTACAGAGACGCCACTGAGGCAGCTGCACACTGACACGGGAGCCGGGGAAACACAGAAGGAAAGGGGGAGTGGCAGAGGTACGGGAGGAAGACAGGTGCCCCACATTCTGGATCCGAGACTACTTTTCCTTTTCATATTTTAATGTGTCTGAACTTGGAAAGTGTCTTAAGCCCTTGTATGCATTTTGAGCAGATAGTATCTATTACCCCCATCTGAAAAGTTGTTATTAAATGGATGGTACGTTTTAAAAATGAGGAAATGTAGAGTTTTTGAATAAAAAAAGACAAAGACACCCCCAGCTGAAGAAAGTCAGCTTACAGGTGTGCAGTAGATGAGACAATTCTTAACCCCAGGGAAGAAACAGGCCTGAAGAACAAGATGTCTGAGGAACTGGTGGCTCTGGTTGCCCTGGTCAGGCAGAACTGTGGCTGGCTCAGAACTGGTATCTTCTCTTGTCAGTAACCCCTTCAGGTCACAAAGACTGGGGGGGGGATGTCAAATCCACTGCAACAGGTGCTCTAGAGCTTGGTTTTCTTTTGACTGAGAAATGCTATTGTTCTTTGAGCTTTTTTATTTATTTATTTTTGGGGGGGCACAGGACTATCTTTGGGAGTAAAATATATAGTCATTTTCTTATGGTAAATCAAAATGCCTGTAGATGAATTAGCTAATGAATCTAAAAAGTATTTACTGAACAATACTACACGCCTGGTCCAAACTGGTCAGTCTATGTACCTTGAGTACAGAAATGGCCTGCGCAATGCCATGAGGCAGTGTCGTAAGTCAGCCCCATCACCAGACCTAGAAAATGAGGTTCAGGCGAGAGTGACCCCACCCAATTCACACCGGTATGAGACGGCCAAGGAGGCATGCAGGGCCCCACGCCATACAACGTGGCTTTAACTTGCTCTGTTTTGCCAGAGCAGAAAACAAAGGCCATGGTGATGTGGTGGCATAGTTAGTACTAGAATTTGGGCCTTTGATACCCAGGATAAGGTTTTTTTTAAGCTACTTTGTGTCGAAGACTTTGACAGCACAAAAAGCCCTGGGGAGGAGGGGGACAAGCTAGCAAGGCTACCCTCGCGGTGGCTTCTTTTTCTTCATGCTTACGAAGTCCAGCATAAACTCTACCCTGGGTCACCATGCCCCATAAGAACAATTGAGGCAGACAATTCACAGCAAGGCTATAACACGGTGATTCACCTGAAGCTAAAAGCAAAACACACATCAAGGCTTATCTGATGGATGCAGAGAGCAGTCTCTTCTCTGTGGAATGCCAGCAGAGGCACAAACCTTTCTCACCTGAACTTCAGGAAGGACTTCCTGTGTTCAAATCCCTTTCATAATTAGGTGTAATTATTCTTGTCCTTTGTCCTGCCTGCCCCATTGTGAGAGTAAGTCTTTAATCTGGGGGCCATTAGAATAGATGAGTAGAGAGGTCACCTGGATTAGCAGCTAATGGATTCTCTGCTCTTTGTTCTGGTAATAATGGGGTAGACAAAGAATAGTACTTGGAAGCTTCTGGGAGAGAACTTACAGGACATGGACTGATGTGTTTTGCAAATGAGGTGGAATACAGAAAGAAACCAGCTGCAATGCTTTCCTGTCCTTGGGCAGCTCCAGCAGCAGCTTGTTACTGGTGTTATCCTCTTCCAAAGGGGTCACCCCACTCTTATGCCTCAAAGTGCCCCAGCCCCCACCTGGCTTACCTTGCAGCAGGGTATAGAAGGCGCCTGAGGCAGACAGGTTGGTGGTAATGGTGACGTCGTCCTTGCTGGAGGTCTCTACCTGGACATGCACTGAGCTGTCTGTGTCACTTCGGAAGCTGCTCACCTGGCCAGTAGGGAAGGTCACATTTGTCAGGCGGCCAAAGCTGTCGTACCTGAAAACCAAGGGGTGGCTCTGAGTAACAGAAATGTAACAGGGCAATAGCTGGAACGTGATGTGTCCTATCTTATGCCATAGTTTTTCATGTGCTTTTCCTTCTAGTTGGATACATTTCCAAGTTCCTCTCACCTCCTTGCACAAAGTTTTCAGGCTACAATTCCACTTGCTGATATCTGACTACAGGCGGGAAATATGCATGTCAGTATTCCTTCCCTAGTTCTGCAAGGTGGAGAAGAGGACCCTGTCTGGCCCATCTCCCATGTGGAAGTGCCCTGTAGTCATAAAACAAATAATGTCCCCCCACGCGGGGATATGCTGGTGACCATGAGAGACAGATGATTCCTTGGGCTGGGGGTGGCCCAGAGATGATGCTTAAATGCCCTGTCAGCTCCCCAAGAACTGGTTCTATAGGTTTTTCCTAAACATCACAGCACAGATGGGGAACCATTACTCAGGGGCTTCCTAGGAAGTTGCAGATTCTGGAAAAAGGGGTCTCTGAAGGCAAACCAGGACTCCGCTGCCACAGAAGCCAGTCAGACATTGGGCTCTTGCAACCACCTTCCAGCTAGACTGCACATCAGCTTCAGGCAGCCATGTATCTGTCACGCTCAGAACCACAGCCTTGCTTTCTGAAGCATCACAGTTGAATCTTATTTCTCTTTCCCATACGAAAAAGGGATGAAAAAAAAAATCTACCACTACTGAACATGTACAAGGTACCAGGGAAGATGCTAGTCATTGTTGTTACATTCTTTCGCTCATCGCAGCTATGTATTATCTCATTTCTGGAGGAGGCTCAGGTAAGTGAAGTCACCTGCTCAAGGTCACATAGCTAGTAAGTGTGGCAGAGTCAAAATTCAAACTCAGATCTACTTGCTTCTAAGCCACCACTTGCTTCCCCAATTCTAGAATCAATTCTGGGCTGTTCATTTGCAAGTCCCCATTGCGTGTGTTTCTAAGCTGCTGCGGAGTGGCTGGGAGATGGCAGGGAGTAGGCTGTTAACATGTTGGTTATTATTTTTAATTAGTGGAGGCTGACGTGTACAAAGGCAGGTGTAAACAGCCTTTTCACACCTGAGTGTGGATGGGGAAAAGTGCTTCCTCCAGGGGTATTTCTGACGTGTGTACATGTTCCAGGTTGCAGCAGGGGTTCAGCCAGTAGGTCTTCCCTATGAACTCTGGGTCTCCCTACTGCACTTTCTCCCCTGCTTTGCTTTACTATTGGGGTCAAGCTGGCTCTGGGCCCCTGAGGGTTTTAATGATGGTGAAATCAAAGGCCTGAGAATTCAGCTCCATCTTAGCACTCCAGAGAGTGCTAAGCTGGGCCTGGCTTCCTGTTGGGACCCCTGGGTCCTGCAACTGTTTTGCTTATAGGTGATGCTTGGCAGGCAGACCTTTGCTGAGCAATTTTCTACCGAAGCTTAAAGTTTCCTACTGAAGGTCAGACTTGGGTGCTGATGGTTCTGTCCAATCTACCAACTCTTCCTGTCCCTGTGGCTGGTCCTGAGGACGGCACCCTTTACAATGGCACAATCCCTGGCACAGCCTTCCACAGAGGAGGGTTTGGTAAAGGTCTGAATGAAGTACCCCAGTCCTTGACACAAGACCAGCTCTGGTGGAAGAGTCAGGGGTTTTTAGAAAGTTACTGTTACTGAGGCTCAAATGAGGGGAAACAGAATAAGAATTAATAGTGAGCCTATTAATTAGGGGTTGATGTTACTTCACTGCTACTTCTCATAAGGCCTGGCTCAAATGCCACCTCAAAAATCCCTCCCTGATTCTCCCGGGTGCTCTTTTCCTGGTAATACAGCTCTGTGAAGATAGGATGCTCCATGCATTGAAATTGTAGTGGTTCAAGTTGTTTCTGTGGCCTGGGAGTGCCTGAGTCAGGACAGGATTGTGGAGTCAGACAGCCAGGCTGGGAATCCGGGTTCTACCAGCTGCCAGAAACAGGGCCCTGGAGGACTTGTCTCAGTTCCCAGTTTCTGCTTGCCTAGCAGGGAGACTGGCAAAGAGAAGGCAGAGAGGGCGTGTTGGCTGAACAAATAAATGAATGTTTGGATGTGTTGATGCTTCTTTCCTGCTCCACTGGAGGAGGGAGGCAACGATTCATTCACAGGATGCCTCCCGAAGAACTCGAGAGGGACTTGACACACAGTAGGTACATGATAAACATCTACTGAATACACAAATATAGAAACAAGCTCGCTTTACTAAATGACACTTGAGCAATCTCTGCAGGCATCTCCCCAGAGTTTTAGTCTCAAAGACACAGAGGATTTGCATAAAGGCAGACAATTGTAATTATTATTGAAGGTAGCCTGTAATACAAAATTAAATTGAGTCTGAGGAAGATAAAATGAAAAGGCCCTATGCTTTCAAGATTTGGTTTTCATTTTATATGAGATGGCCGAAAAACAGTAATTTCCATTCTTCAAATTTTCCATTAGAAGGACTGAATGTCTTAATTAAATGAACATCAAAGAGAACAGCCAATTTATAGAATTTTCTTGTCTCTTATTCATTCATTTCAGTACCTTCCAGAGCTTGAGAAATGCCACTGGATCTCTCTGCCTCATGATCAATACCTGTGATTATCCTGTCAGAACACTGTTGCTTCTGCCGGGGGAGGGTTGGGGATTGAGGTTGGGGGTGCTGCGAAGGGGGAGAACTGGAGCTGCCCATCCTCTGGACCATGAATACCTCTGCCCCGTGGCTCCCTCTGTGGCGCCCTCTCTCTTCCTGCCACGGGAATGCCAAGGGAAAGGAGGCTGATGCTATAAGACAGTACTCTGCCCTCTCTGGATTCCAAGGAACAGCCTCAAACGCTGGCCCTATGATTGGGTGACTTCTAGACATATGGCTTAGTTACCGCTATTACAGATTTTATATAAAGTACAGCATTTTTTTTTCTAACTAAGAGGAAAGAAGGTGTCAGCTTTGGAGCCAGATGGTCTGGGCCTCAAATTCAGGCTCCACACCTGCCAGTAATGTGACCCTGGAGGACGGGCACTCAGTTCTGCTGTTCCGCTAACCATCAGCCCCCACCAAAATAATGTTATTTTAGGTAAATTACATAGCAACTTCTGGAAGTCTGTTTGCTTCCTTATAAAATGAGAATAAATAATACTTATCTCATAAAGACATTGGAAAGATCTATCAAAATAGCATATTGCAAATGAAATGCCAGCTCTTTCAAGGTTTTCAAAACCCCATGAGACTTCCCTCACTAGCAATTCAGTTTCCCGAGGGAAGAGGCTTTGTTTTGGTCACTGTTGTGTCCCCAGAACTTCCTAGAATTCCTGGCATATAGTAGATGCTCAATAATGTTAACATGCATGTTGATTGATGAAACTGCTCCTTCCTTCCCCTCTTTCTACCATCACCTTGGATCCCACTCCTGCTCTTCTTGCATTCCACTAATGTGGCTTCTGTTACCTGAACTCACTGAGCTCAACCATGCTTAAAGTGCACACACCGTTCCCTCGGCAGGGAATGGTCTCCCCTCCAATTCTGGTCTGCCTGGTTCCTTTATTTACTCATGTTTGAGTTCAAAGGCGATCACTTCAGTGAGGCCTTCTGCGATCACCCTTTGGAAACAGATAGGTAGTCTCATCTCTACCACATTATCTTATTTTACTGCCTTAATTATACTAGTATCTTCTACTTATTATCTCATCATTATACTTATTATCCATCTGTTTTCTTGTTTGCTGTCTGTCTCTTCCTACTAGAACATAATCTCCAGGGAAACATGGACTTTGTCTGTATTCTAAGTGTCTACAGGAATACCCGGTTTGTAAAAGGTACTCAGTACAATTTTTTTATGAATCAAATGAACGAATGAATGAATAATAGATGATTATTTTTTCAAGATGTAATCTGAGAATAACTGGAAATTCCACCCCTTTCCTCTGCCCCCTTCCAAATGAGGAAGGGAGAGTGCACTGATAGTCACAGAGTGCCTTTTAGCACGAAGCAGTCTGCACATAACCGCCTTGGAGGTAGATACTACTGTCATTTCACAAATGGTGAAGTTGAGGGTCAGGTAAAAAGGTAACTTGCCTAAGATCACACAGCTAGTAGAGGACTACAAAGTTACAATCAGGCCTGTCTGACCTCAAAGTCTGTGTTCTTTCATTAAGCTTCCCATAAAAATGACGCTGTTTCCTATCATCACTATGCTAAATAAAAACTTGGTTTTGGAAATCTCAAGTGAATCAACAAGACTAATGATTTTTTCTTTAAGATGATGCTTTACTAGTGGTGCTCAGCCCCCATGTTGCCGGGGTGGGCGTGATAGAGATAACCAGTGATTGACTTCCACTGACTTTTCCTCTTTTTTCCAAAGCATCTTTGGAGCACAGGGAAAGTGAACACATAAAAGATTTATATAGTTGCTGTGAAAGAGGGCTGCTAAGGGTATCTTGACACACACACTGCAAAGCTTTCTTCTTCACACTCAATACTTCACATCTCAAGCCACTTACTTTGCACAGCTGGTGAGGAAAATGCCAAATTGCCTCTCTAATACTAACTTTTGCTGATTGTGACTTTTTTTGGTTGGGGAAAAATTATTTTATGACTTTCATCTATGGTTCTTTCAAAAAACACCAAGAGAAATTGGATATTATTTTCTGTGCGCAGAGTATATACCCCATGCCCACCAATAGCTCCCTTGGTCTCAGATCACTATAAAAGATGGTACTACTACATCAGCAGCTCAAGAACTGTATCACAGCCAGGGCACATTTTGATTTCTGCAATAAAACTAGTACTTGTTACCCATTTTCTACAGAATGAAGTCACACGATGATTTCTAGCTTTCAGGATTCCTAAGAGCTGCTGGTGCTACCATTGCGGGGCTCATCGCACACTGATGATGTGCTTGAGGCCATGCATCTGGTGGAAAGTGCTCAGGATTCAGGTAGATTTGGGATCAAATCCTGGCTCTGCCCACTGTGCATATGATGTCACGGGGCCAGTATCTATGCT